CTGCCGAGTGCGGATGGCCAGCTGCCGGTCCTGGTCTCGTGGTCGAGAGACAACACGATCCGGGTGTGGCATGCTGCGTACGACGGGACGGGCGCCATGCGGTACACCGCGGACAGTGCCTCCTGTGAGGTGCTGGAGAGCCACACCGACGATGTGGAGGGTGTGATTGCGCTGCCGAGTGCGGATGGCCAGCTGCCTGTCCTGGTCTCGTGGTCGTGGGACAGTACGATCCGGGTGTGGCATGCTGCGGACGACGGGACGGGCGCCATGCGGTACACCGCGGACAGGGACTCCTGTGAGGTGCTGGAGGGCCACACCAGCGGTGTGGAGGGTGTGATTGCGCTGCCGAGTACAGATGGCCAGCTGCCGGTCCTGGTCTCGTGGTCGCGGGACAGGACGATCCGGGTGTGGCATGCTGCGGACGACGGGATGGGCGCCATGCGGTACACCGCGGACAGTGCCTCCTGTGAGGTGCTGGAGGGCCACACCGACGATGTGCATGGTGTGATTGCGCTGCCGAGTGCGGATGGCCAGCTGCCTGTCCTGGTCTCGTGGTCGTGGGAAGACACGATCCGGGTGTGGCATGCTGCGGACGACGAGATGGGTGCCATGCGGTACACCGCGGACAATGCCTCCTGTGAGGTGCTGGAGGGCCACACCTACAGTGTGCGGGGTGTGATTGCGCTGCCGAGTGCGGATGGCCAGCTGCCCGTCCTGGCCTCCCACTCAGATTCCGACGAGACGTTCGAGTGGCACCCCTCCCCCACCGGCTACGCCCTCCACGCCCGCCACCCCTCCTCCTTCTGGCTCCACGCCCGCCGCTCCACCTCCACCCACCCACGCAACAACTCCACTCGCATCACCATTGCCAACCACACCGGCCTCTCCATCCCCCACCCCTCCGACCCCAACCGCCTCCTCACCGTATTCTCCAACCGCCCCCCCATCATCCTCCGCCGCCACCCATAACACCCACCGCCTTTACTCCCCCCAGCACCGCGTCCGCATCCTCGCTGCCGCCAGCACATCTGCAGCCTCCTGCGCCATGGGCCTCACCAGCGGATCGACCGACCAACACCGCCGGATGAATCACCCGCCATCGCACTAGCAGCGTTGCTGGTGAGGACCTGACGGCCGACCCCCATGGCATTGCTGCCATCAAACGCCGGCGCCCGCATGAGCATCTCGTAGAGGAGCGTGCCAAAGGTGAACATGTCGCCCTCAAACCCTCATCGGCTCCGCGCAGCTGCTCCGGCGCCATGTACGCCACCGATGGCACCACCGCCATCGTCCCCTAGTTGCTCTTGATGACCATCCGTCCGCTCTTGTGGTCCACCACCACGTCGTGCCCGCCACCCGTGATCGAGTGGACCTCGGCGAGCGCACGCGCCAGCGCCAGCTCGATGCTCAGCGCCCACACGCGGTCGAGGCCCGAGCCCGAGCTCAGCTAACAGCGGCGTCCGAGCCCGGCCAGCCCGCTTCTACTCCCGCTGCAACGACCGATCGTGCGGCCGCCCACGAGAAAGGCCTCGGCAGGGAGCTCCTCCAGCGACCCACAGTCGATGCGCGCGTAGATTACATGTGGCAGCAAGACCTTGGCCATCACCCGCGTGTACCCGCTGAGCGCCATCGGCCCGCCAGCCTCCAACACTGCCTCCATCTCGCACCACAAGGCGACGAGGCCGCCCCCGCGACGATCGCGCAGTAGCAAGCTCACTGAGGGTAGCCGCCAGACTCGTCTGCTCGCCGTTGCACGGGCCGTAGGCAACAGCCATGCGACGACGACATAGACGACGCGGCGGGCGTAGAGGTCGCGGACTCGTCGTCAATCTCATCCGGCCGCTCGCCATCGATGACGATCTCGTCGATGCCGCCGCTGACAACGACGCTGCCGGCGTTCACAGCAAGGCCGTTGTTGGAGCATCCGGTCCACTGATCGGCCGGCAAAACCACAGTCACGAGGGCTGATGCAGCTATGCAGCTCATCGACATCGGCAGTGCACCCACACATCCCTCGGCCGGTGCGAGTTGGTGCTTGGACTCATTGCCGCCACGAGCGTCGGGCAGATGGACAACTTCTCCGATATATCTGCCAACACGGGGCTACTTCCTGTGGTTTGCTACGCGGCGACCTCGCCCCCATCCGTGTAGCACCCACCGCCATCGCACCGCAGAATCGATGGCATGGCCTCGTTGATTCCGAGCTAGAGAGCCTTCTCCCTCTATTCATGATTGCCGCCACTGCTACGAGTCGCTAACACTCACGGCCAGCGGAGCGAATCAAAGCAGCTGCCACCTCGCTCTGATGGCCTCGACACGGTCGGCTCTCCGATCGACGATGCGCGACGACGACGACACGACGACGGGCGCCTCTGAGCGCCCAATTCTTACCTTGATCTCGTGTGTACGCGAGCTATCGAACGGCGCTCATGTACACGC